GATGAAATGTAGAATCCTTTCTAAAGGAACCAACCACAGAGGGAAGCATTTAACCATTGAAAATCGGAGAATAGTGAGGTTTGCAACAAACAAGAGAGTGAACTTTGCAAACAAGCGGTAGGAAGGAACACATTCAGTCCTAATTCTACATTCTTTTCTCAGTAGTATAGTTGTCTATCATCTTTGTTAAAAAAGAGAGATTACATCTATTTCACACAATTTCAGCTCTATTGCCATTTATGAAATCTAGAAGTACTTGGGATGCTTTATTTGCCACGATAGTGAAGGAATAATGTTGCTTCATTTAACTAATTGGTAAACTTTTTTTCTCTATAACAGTTTGCTAAAAATGCATTGCATGTTTCTATTTGTTAATAGTTAGTGAATTGCACAAGAGGAAGACGAATTATGTAAACAATAATTTGAATCAAGAGTGATGAATATTAAGTAGGACAAAGTACAAACTAAGCTACCACTGTACAATCAATTTATTGATTAATCAGGAGGGCATTCATTTTTGCCACCTCTCCTGCAACTTGTTAGAGACTGCAGTATAGTATGTTTGCTGAAGTATATAGAACAGATGCCCATCATTTGCAATTTATTCCTTTCCTTTGCAGAGACCAACATTATTTAGACTTGAACATTATTTAAGCTCAGGGCAACTTGCTTGTAGAGCATGAGTTTAGATATTTGTTTCCACTAACGATATACTATTTGGCTATTTGCTCAGCCTAAAGATTTATCCGTGCCTGACATGACTGGGTTTTCATCATAAAGTCTCTCAACCCTACAGTATGAAAAGCACTGCTAAGCATAATTCATAAACAACAAGTCCATGAAATAAAATGTGCACTCCTACAGTACTAAAATCCAAACTATAGTACAATGAAGAAGTAAAATTCTTGTGATAGATAGATCTGGTGCTCACCTGCTGGATACTCGCTCCCGGATTACACAAATGGGGCGCATGACCCACTGCTCTCGCTTCAAATAAAAACCCGCAGTAGTAAAGAAGACAAGAGGGGATGAAAGTGGACTCGAGAGATGACATGAATGTTGAAGATGAAGAGATGACGATAAGAGATTGTGTTTCTAATTATAAGAGACATTTGTGTGTGAACATTTTGTGAAATAAAAAATAGTAAATCAAATGACACTAAACGGAATCCTTGATCGCATACGTTCGATCAAAGACAAAGAACTAATGAAATCTGGTTTAAAGCAGGAAGAAAATGTAATCGCACAAATTTGAATTCCCATCATTGGATACATTAAGTGGCAAATTTTGGCACATCACCTGTCTTGTCTCTGTTAGTTGGACTTTAAGGCCCCAGTTCTGAACTACTACTGTTTGAGCAATACATTTGCCATAACCCCTAAGAGACGATTCGAAAACACAAGAGATTTCAGTTTCACCAAGACGCGAGAGGGCAGCGATCAGTTAAAACATTTATAACTAGATATTTCTTATTACTAAGCGTCTAAGCCACATCTACATTCAAGAGAGAAATGATCAGATCACTACCACGATCTCGCAAGGACCTGAAATAAACCACTACCACAATTGCTTGGCCACTACACACTCAAAGAACGGTGATGAACCTGACTCCTTTTCACAACAAAACAAACAAGATGGGACATATGAAAGAAGTAATGTAAAATCGAAGTCATAGTTCGATCGAAAGCAGCTCTCAAAGCGGTGGCAACACATTGATTACGCTTCAAAGTGACACGATAATCAGATGTTTTTATTTTTGGAGGAGAACATGATAGTCAAATGTTACTTGTCATCCTTTTAATTGTACTTCTAGGTGATTCGACAGGAGTTCCTCGGCTTTCCAGTTTAGCTTTGCCAGCTGATCGCAAATGCAACCTGATGATGAGCATGCAGTTTCTGCCTAAAAAAACAAGGAACACATATCTTAGTAAAATTAACTGATGTTGCCGAAGGCACATGGTGGCAACTGCTGTCCACGAAGGACCCCCCTGGAGATTGGAGAAAGGGCGAAGCAGAGTAGCAGACAGGGGAGGCAGATGAAACGCGGCGCGGAATCAACTAGGCTAGACGAGCGGCGGCAGCGGGACACATTTGCTCGCCGGCGCCGGCGCAGCAGCATGCAATGTAATCGCGCATGGAAGCTACTACACAGTCCACACAATCGTCCGCCACACACTCGGTGGAGGCCCGATTCATCAGACCTACGAAACCAAGCGCCTCGCGAGTAGTACGACGTTGGAGGGAGCGCAGTGCAGACGAGGGTCGAGGAAGGGACGGACCTGGTTGGTTCCGGTGGACGGGCAGTTGAAGGCGAGCCGCGCCAATGGCGCCGACGGCGAGGCCGGCGGAGGACGCGATGCGATGCGGTACGGCGGGAGAGCGCGACGTGGTCCCAAACCCTAACCTCGTAGCTGCGCGGAGGAGAGAATGGTGTGGTGGTCGGAGGGGAAGGGGAGAGCGGGTGGCGGCGTGGAGCGGGGGAGCGGCGCGGTGGGGTGAGCGCCGGCGAGCGGGTGGCGGCGCGGAGCGGGCGAGCAGCCTGACGGCGTCTGAAACTAATTTCGCCCAAATTCAGCTTCTAAGTGCCCAGCGGGGTTTGATATATCTCAGACCACGGTAGGGGCGGCTGACCTTATGAGCCGCCCCTACAGTTGAATCAAGCCGAACCGTACATTCCGTGGGTCATCACTAAATTCTGCTTTGTACTTGGCATCGAACGCTTGCCACTGGCTACAATCAGCCGGGTGTGCGATCGTATCATCATCCACCTTGCGCTCATCATCCCACCATGTCATCAGTGCGGCTTCCTTAGGGTTTAGGAACATACGCCTTAAGCGGTCGATCACTGGTAAGTACCACATAACCAAGGCAGGAATTCTTCTCTTATTTGTATCGTTGCCTAATGGAGTTTCCTCTAGGGGCTGAGATTCTTGCACCACCTTCTTCCCACCCTTCTTCCTCTTTCTGTGGAGGCTTCCACCCCACTTTGAAGGTCATTGTTCTTAAACCGACTAGCCCCACACCTAGGACATGTATCTAAAGTCTCGAACGATGTGCCACGTCGAAAAAAGGATACTGATGGTTGGGGCATGCATGGATTTTTTCAACCCCCAATGTGAGTGGACTTATAACCTTCTTCGCTTGGTATGTGTTGGCGGAAGGCTGTGTTTGGCCGTGGGAGCAACCGTGACATGAGGCACAACAGATCATCGAAAGCTGCATCCGACCAGCCGTATTTAGCCCTTCAGGATGAGTAGCTCAAGCACAAAAAGCGTAAAATGTGAAGTATGTCGGACAACCCTTCTCAGCAATCATACACAGTCTTCTTCGATGCTTTTGTCACCCTCTCAAGATTTTCTAGACCTCTCTTGCTCTTTTCTAATATTTCGGTCCAAAGGCCCCAAGCATTTCGTCCAAGTTGTCACCGTCATCTGCATCCCCCTCACGTGCCAGCCGCCATCATTCTTTGGCACCACCAAAGCATCATCACCACCTTGTTCATTGCCAAAGCCACCACCTTGTGTTCATTGCCAAAGCCACCACCTTGTTGATTACCATAGTCACGATCCATTTGTTGCTCAAGATCGTATGTGAATCGGGACAAGTATGCTTGGGTTTCAGCTTCATCAGCTAGATCATCGTCGCTGTCATCAACAACCACTGTTTCACCATGATGAATCCACACTGTGTAGTCCGGAACAAATCCTCTTCTAATAAGATATTCTTTGATGGTACTCACATCTCGAAATGCAATAAGGTTCTTGCAATCTTTGCAGGGATAAATAATCGTGTCGCTATTCTCTTTCAACGTCGCTGCATGCTTCTCTGCGGCTTTGATGAATTTGTCCACCTCATCACGGAAAAGAGCGTCGTGTCTTAACGAACCATACATCCAAGAGTTCCTGTAGTCCATCTTATAGAAACAAAATAACCAAAGAAAGAATATTACTCGAGAATAATTGTATATACCTGAGACACGCACTATGGTAGTAGAGGATAGTTAATTAATTGACTATTAATGCATAAATATTTTAAAATATAAATTAATTGGTTCAAATAAACAATTTCACATAAAACAATTAGCAACATTTAATATTTCATCCACCACCTTTCATGCAAACTCCATTCCAATTTCATGGTAGAGGATAATTAATTAATGACCTATTTATCCATAACTAATTAAAAACACACATTATATAAAGGAATCAAAATAAATATTAAATGATAATTAGTAGCCATGGTAGAGGATATTTTACACATTAGCAACAATTAAAATCTTACACATTCACCTACATGCAAACCCTAGTCACATAAAGGAAAAATTAAAAAAAAAAAAAAACAAAATCCTAGATCTAGATATAGGGTTTCATGACACATGCATCAAACTTTACTAATACTATAGTGAAATCAACAAAGATGTACTAATAAAGGGTGCAATCTTACTTTCCTACATAATTTATCCTAGTATAGTGAAAATTAGGGTCTAATTTCACTCATAACTAGCTCAAGCTCCATGGAAGAAAGAGAAAACCTCAAATCAAATTACTGACTAACCAACAAATTAAACTTAAATAAAGAGTTGAGGCGCATTTCCTTACCTTTTTGAGCCTCTCCACCAAAGGATTTGAGATCAAAACCTCCCTCCTTAATAGAGTAATTTTTAGGATCAAGGCCTCCCAACCTTTTTTTGTGTGTGTAGAAGAGTATGTCCGAGAGTGGAAGAAGAGGGTGGCTGCTATTTATTCTGATGCGCCATCGGAAGGCGGTGGTGATTGAGCCGCCCTGGATCATAAGCTGCAGGGGGGTGGTGCAGATCGGGAGGGGCGCTCAGGTTACAACCGCCCCTAGGCGCGCCCCAACCTCAAGCCGCCTTACAGCCGCCCTAAAAATGCCCCGTGAGGGGGCGCCCAACCCCAGCCGCCCCTACAGTAAAAATTCTCACGGTATTTAATCTGGCGTAGTGCTTCTACACGCTGCTCTACTGCATCTACTGCTGGAGATGGCGGAAGCGCAACGGTGAGCAAAGCTAAGCCCACAGATGCAAGTGTTATATTTTCTTGCCGGCCTTGTTGCATGTATCCCTGAACTAATAAGAGCACATATATTTTGGTCTGTATATGTACATTTGAATCAGCCATCAAGAGGTCGCTGATTTAGAGGCTCGGGCCGCAGTCGAACTCGGACTTACCTCTCATTGACCTCGTCTCCATCCTCACGGCCACCGAGAATTTCGCCGAGGCCAAAAAGCTCGGCGAGGGAGGCTTTGGCCCAGTCTACAGAGTCAGTAATCAAACAAAAACAACTGTGGTAAAGGACTAGCAATTTCTCTTGCCATGCATGTTGTCATCATTTCCTAGTCTCATCGTGCCTGCGTATATGATACGAATCGGGCGTGCTGAGCGGCGGCTCGGAGATCGCCGTGAAGCGGCTGTCGGCGCAGTCGCGGCGGAGTTCCGGAACGAGGTGGAGCTGATTGCCAAGCTGCAGCACCGCAACCTGGTGCGGCTGCTGGGCTGGTGCGCCGAGCGCGACGAGAAGCTGCTGGTGTACGAGTACCTCCCCAACCGCAGCCTCGACGCCTTCCCCTTCGGTGCGGTAACCAAGTCCAAGTGCATGCACCTGTCTGCTGTCTGTTCCTTCTCTTCCAATTTCCATTCCAGCACTCATCCGAGGCGTGCGTATATCGATCACCTGTTCATTTGTTAGGAGTACTAGCATTTCCATTCATAAAGATGGTTGTCCTCTAGTCTAATCTAATCTAAATATAACAAAGTTGCATTGGACGACTGATTTTTTGACAGGCATGGAAGCTGTGGATCCAAGACGCGCTGCGGCCGAGTTCATGGACCCGTCTCTTGGCCGATCCTACTCAAGGGACGAGGCGTGGCAGTGCTACCTCGTCGGCTTGCTCTGCGTGCAGGGAAACCCCGACGTCCGTCCCACCATGTCCAGTGTCCTCATGCTCATCAGCGACCAGCCTGTTCGTTTGGCTGTGGCTTGTCGTAAACGATCGTAAATTTCCAGCCGAAACAGTATTTTTCTCTCACACAAACCAGCCAGCAGTACTTCTTCACGAACTAACAACGAAACGAACCAGTCAACCGAACAGGCAGCATATGGAGCTCCCAGCAGCAGACAGGCCACCGTTGTTCACAAGACACAGTACCATACCGTTCCCGGCAATGCCACTCTCAGTCAGGACAGAGTCAAGGGTGTCTCCTCATTCCATCAATGATGCCAAACGTCATAGAGAATTTATGTGCAATTTTGAATTGAATTTGTACAAAGATACTAGTATGAAATCATGTGGTGGCCGAGCATCAGGAGTACCTTCCTTGCTCCATCCTAAAATATAAGACAATGAAAAATTTTAAATTTGTCTAAAATGATAAGTGATTTCGATGAATTAACTCCCCTAGACATACAGTCGCTTGTATTATATACATGCTATTAATATCTGTTGTTAAATCAACCGCCAAGCTTAAAATTAATACGATAAGTATAATACTATCCTATGACTATAAAGGAAGATTACATATATCATTTAATTTACCAAATAATATGTCCAATAATTTCTATAATATATTGTGGTAATGATTGGATACTAGCTATATATTCTTATGTGCTAGGGTGCTTAGAGCTAGACACACTATCATGATAGGAAGCTACTCAAGACGAAGGTGAAAAGTGGCAAAGCGTGCTAGCCGAGCTTGAATGTTTCAAGAAAGGTTATATTTGGAGAGTTGGGGATGGCACACAAATAAACATCTAGGAGGATCATTGGATACTAGGGAGTACAACCTGAAAATTCGAACGCCTAGAGGCAACAATATAATCACAACTGTTGATGAGCTTATCAATCCTGTTGATTTAACATGGGATGCGGAGTTGGTGAAATCTATTTCTTGGGCAGTCGATGCGAAAAGGATACTACAAATTTCAATCACCCCGGGGAGGGAGGACTTTGTAGCTAGGCATTATAACAGAAATGGGTTGTTTTTGGTACGCTCAGCATACCATTGTCAATGGGAAGAAAATTTTGGACAAAGAAGCAAGTCAGTGCAAGCTAGTGGTGTGAACAGAAGTCAGGCAGAAAGAAGCTGTGGAAGCTCGAAGTCCCGGGAAATATCAAGATTTTTGGGTGGAGGCCTCTCCATGGACTTATCCCATGCCGAGCTATTCTTGCCAATGGACATATTGTTAATACGAGAGGATGCCCTATGTGTCTGAATGGAGCAGAGGACATCATGTACATGTTATTCTCGTGGAACCGAGTGTGGAGGGCTTTGGAATCTGGGACAATATCTTTCAACTTCTCAATGCGGATCGATTTGGCTCAGTATTACTAGAAGAGGCGATCAGAAAGGGGGGACAAGTTCGATCAATTGATGTTGGGCTAGCAGAACTGATCTTAACTGGTGGTTGGTACATATGATGGGACCGCCGGCAACATGTTCACAGAGACCAACAAGATCAGCCCTGTCCATTGTAGCCTTAACAAGAAATTATAAGCTAGCTATGAGGAAGGAAGCAAACCCCAAAAGGGATGACATGGCAGAAACCCCCGGAAGGAAAAATTAAGGTGAATGTTGATGCATCCTTTGATGAGAAGGTGGGACATGGAAGCACATGGGCACTAATTAGAGATTGCTCAGGAGGAGTTGTGGCAGCTTCACATAGCTTTGTTGCTCATGTGGTGGATACGCCAATGGCGGAAGCATACGCGTTGAAGGAAAGACTAATGCTAGCATAGCATGTTGGTGGTAACCGGTTGATCATTCAGGCGGATTGTACGGAGGTTGTGGAAATAATGAAGGTGGTTTTTTGGCAAACTCGGCGGCCGCCATTTATGACGAATGCAAATGGTAGACCATTTGGAGAGGGTTCCAAGATATCTCTATTTGAGTATTGCAGCAGGGATACAAATCAGGTGGCATACGAGGCGGCATTTATATATTTACCATTATTACGGATGTCATCTTAACATGTGTCACATGGTATTTTATATACCACTCACCTCGTAACGATGGTAAATATGTAAATATTCCACATACGAGTTGGCACAGTGAGCTAATCAGCTGGCATACGAGTTGGCACGATGAAGTATGCAAACTAAGGAGAAATGTATTCGGGATGGTGAGCCCCCTAGATTTATTCTTTTTTTAAAATTACACAATACAAAGCAGACGCCCACAACGCGCATGCACACTCACCCCTATGAGCACCTTCGAAGGATTGTGCCGGCAGATCTCGAGATTCACGAAGTCACCACTGGCGTCTCCCTGTCGACGGGGACATCGTCTACCACTGAAAGCATAGCGCCGTTAAATCCTAGAATAAAATCCAGAAAAAGGCGAGCACCCGTGCCAAGCCTGAGCGGTCATTCTCTTTTTTCTAGCTAGCTTGTCCGGTGATTGACTGATTGATGAGATCATTAGCATAGTCCACCAGACCTTAGGGCATCCTCAACAAGACAACAGCTAGCGCATACATGTCATGTCATTGCCACTTCAGTATGTGAACCACACATATAAATGATTTTTTATTTTGTATCTTCTCTCCTCCCTTTCTCATTTTTATGAGCAGGCCCACAAACTACCTTGTTTTGTGAGTAAGATACGTGTCGAGATAAGAGATAGTCTCTCTTTTCCATCTTCTCACTCTTCCACGTAAGAAAATTGTTGACATGGATTCCTATGAGCTAGCTGAGGTGGTACTATTGGAGACACCCTTAGCAGCTTGGGAACGGCCGAACGGGAACATGGCCCACGTTCCCATTTCCATGTTCCATGTTCCGGGAACGTTTCCGTTCTCACATTATCAAATGATACCCAAGTTCCCGTTCCCGTTCTGGAAACTGGAACGAGAACGGGAACATGGCTGCTAAGCACCAGACCACCACGATAAACAAGGAAGTCCTAAACTGATGAGGCTGATCAGATTGAACTACTGATAATCAAAAGATGGGTTCTTTTTTTTCCAAAACGAAATAATCAAAAGATCTTGCAAGCTGGAGTAAGTGCGAATAGCAGAAGTAACAACCCGATGTTTATTGGCCAGTTATATGTACCACTGTCAAGAGCTACGGCAAGATCGAACATTACGGTGTTTGTTGTGCCAGATATTGACAAGAACATGAACAAAGGGAAGAGGAAGAAGAAACTAGCAAATGTTCACAAAGAATATTGTTTATAAAGAGGTTTTAACTACATAAAAAAGGTAATTTCTTCCGTTAAAACAATTTTTTCACCTATAGTCAATACTAATTAAGTTTTAAATTAAACAACTTATATGCAAGATATTTTCAACAAAATTAGGAGAAATGTAAGGACTATTTGACTACCGATGTGTTTAGAGTCAATACCCTTAGAGATGCTATTAAGAAAGAATGGCATTTAGATTTGTTATAAGATAGAATTTGGACATAATTCCTCCTCTTAGTTTTAGTCATGCACAAAAATAATTTTCTAATATTGATATTTTGAACATCACACTCAAAGTATTGTTTTGGGGTAACAGTACAGCGCACGTTTAAACTAAAGTTATTGTGGCATTGTTTTTCCTCGGTGTAATGCACGGACATTTACCTAGTATAACTTATAATTTGAGATAAAGAGAGCAATATTTAATTTAATTAATTTGCCCCCGTTGCTGTCACCCGACCTCTCCTTCCTTGGCGCATATAGTGGCATAATTATTCAAAATTAGTGTTAAGACCAAATCTGATCAGATGGAAATAGAAGCAATAGCATGGCCAACTCCATTCAGAAATAGAAAGCGAGCTCGATTCATTCAGCCTGTTCGCTTGTTGGTTTCAGGCAGGGCTTATCAGCCACTCAACAGTGTTTTCCTCTCACAACAAACCAGCACTAGCCGAGCTTATCAGTCTATAAACCAACCAGCAAACAGGCTCATTGAAATTTCATAGTAGTCATACCCAGAAACATCATAGAGTCATAATGACTGGACCAAATGTTGGTGACACCAATCATAAATTTAGATTGGATGGTGTTAGTATTTTTTTGAGCAAGTGTGGACCTTTTGGTCGAACCCCTAGGCTTGCAGCTCTAAAGAAGCCAATGTACTGCTTAATATGATATATCACATTTCTCAGCAAAACAAAGAAGCCAAATAGCCAATGTAAAAAACTAAAGTTTCTTTTTTTTTCTTCATGCCAACCAGACCATCAACCCTGAGTATTAATGTTTTTTCTCTAAAGTCGTATAGGAGTTAGAAATTGAAAGAAGTAAGGAAATGACATTTACCTTATTGTGTATTCATCTCTTCCTGGCCTGCACCCATGTGAAAGGACTATATTTTTGTCACTGTGTGCAACTCTGCAATTAAGCCACTATTCATAAGCTTAGTGGTAAATTTACCTACAGAAGCTCAGAATAAAAATAATTGGCATAAAAATAACCAAATCCATCCAATGCAACTATTCCCCACTGCAACAAACAAAAATTAACTTGAACCCAATTTAGAGTACCTAACCAGCAGAAGCAACTGACAAACTTAATCTTTTCATTTCAGCTATTTCAGTCACGGTCGGATTATAAATCTGGGAAACATGTACAGCTAAGCTATAATCTTCCACCTAATTTTACTAATTTTTGTAGATATCACGTACATTCATAATGTTGAAAATCGAGCACCAGCATCTTAATTCTCTTTTCTCTGTATGAATGAACTAAAAGCTTCAGTTA